GGACGCGGGTCATCGTTTGAACCATAATTGCAACGGCGTTAAATGTCTTTGGGCAATTTTCTTTAAGGGACTTGATCATTCGATTTGTTTGTTTTGAAAAGTTTCATCGAGGGACTATGATCATTCAATTTGTTTGTTTTGCCCAAAGAAGTTCAACATGCAATATGGCCCAATTATTTGAAGGCAACAAAGTGGAATACCTTAGGGGGTGCAAGTGTGAGATGTGTTGTTTATTTTCATGCTCATTTATCTTGTATTAGGTCAAACTATTTTTTATCGTTTTTCACATGCAAACCCTAATTCTAACATGGCATAATTAGAAAGCGTATAAAGTGCGAAATTTAAATTCCTACGCTATTACAACATAATAATATAGGGAGGGGGGTACAAATTTACAAATGGGGAATATTTAGACAAGAATTTAAATCTAAATTATTACATCATTTTTGAATATTTGCAAGGTAAATAAATTGCATAATTAAATAGAAATTAAATAAATATGCAAAATGCAAAAAGAAAGTTTTTATATGTATGAAAAAATGTTGTTTATGTAAAATAAAATAAGAAAATAAAAAAGGTATTATTTTTGAGTATTTTCATATTTAGGGCAAAAACCCTAATTTTAATCAAAATGTATATTAATTAATTAATTCACATAATATTTATTATTTACATAAAAATAAAATAAAATATGGTATATTTGTAAAAAGGCCTTTTTTAGTATTAAATATTAAAAAATAAAATATGTACATATATATATATATATATATATATATATATATATATATATATATATATATATATATATATATATATATATATATATATATATATATATATATATATATATATATATATATATATATATATATATATATATATATACTTATATTATTTTAAATATGTATTATATACAAATAATAATAATAATTAAATTTTTTAGAAAATAGTATTTTTTTTGTATGAAATATTTTCAGAGGGTAATATAAAATAAAAAATGAAAATGAGAATGTATTTACACTAATTTTCTATTTATCCTAAATAATAATATATATACATATATGTATAAATCAAAAGAAAATCAAATAAATACCAAATAAAATCAAAAAATGATGAGAAAATTATTTTCAAAATTTTAATATGCTGAGAAAAAATAAACAAGTCAAACAAAAAAAGAAAAAGTCAAAAAGGATTAAAAATAAGACAAATGGGCTTGGGGGGTGTAATAGCAAAACCAGGGTGCAAAAAGAAATAACAACAAGCCCAACCCAGGAAGCTGTTATCTTCAACCTTCAGACGACCAATTTCAAAAAAAACGCGCGCCTGCTTCTCAAGTTCCTAACTCCTGATCCTTTGATTTTTTGAACAAACTTCCAACACAAAAGATGTTAAGCATGAATCCACGATTCCAAATATATAAAAAACATCTCCTAACTCTAAAAAATGAGAGAGAATTTTAGTGATCCCAAATCTTAACCTAAGTTTTCTGCCATTTTCAAAGCTTAAATTCTCTCAACTCAGGCAAAAGAAATGAAATGTAAAGATATGGACATGCTCAGGGCTATGAGTAGAACCTTGTTTCTTCACAAACTTAAGACTAAAAATGCATAATAAGAGAGATACGAGTTCAAAATTTTACCTATTCAGTTGAACTTCTATCTGGAGAATGAGGAACTTTCAGTGCAAGGTGATGATTGGAAAAGCTTCCTTGAGGTCCAGGGATGCTATTCCAATGTTTACTTTGTCTTGAAAACTTCTGAATCAAGCTATGGAACTTCAACTGCAAAAGGAAAAAATGAAAATGGTGGAAACTGTTAGAGGGATTACAGGTCAGGTTTTAGGTCATGGTTAGCTTGCATACATGCTAGGGAATATGTATGAATTGATTTTGGTAAGAATGCTCGAGGGAAATGGGAGTTTGCACTCAAACTGCAGAGGCAACCCTGTTTTTGCAGTTTGAGGATGATTCTGAGATGGAGGGTGTTTTGGAGGCAAATGGCTCGTGTCACAGCTTGGTTATGTTGTCTTGAGTGTGTTTGGTAAGTTTGCTCTTGTGTGCTAATGCTGGTATGAGAGTTGTTACAAAAAATGGGACTTTCTTCTTTCTTAAGCAACAAAATGCCACTTGATGTTCTAGGCATGTAGGGGGCCTCCTAATGGTCTGCATAATCTTCTCTTGATCAGAGCAATTTGTCCATAATCTTGTGCCATTCAGATTTGCAATGTACTTCTTTGATTTACCAATTGACATAAAGCAAGCTTTTGCAAAAATGGAAAGTTCACTTTATCTAAAAATGGATCAATCTTGTGTACAATGCTTGAACTCATGGAACAACACTTTGGCACAATGAACAAGCATTAAATTATGGAGTGTAACTTGGTTTAAGGACCTGTAATCTAGCCTAAAGCATGCTGAGTTCAAATTTGCAAAGTTATGGACATGGAACTTGGTCATGAACAAAGTGGTTTTTTGCTATATTGTGAAATTCGATTCTCTCTAACCATGAGGTTGTTTGAGAAGTTCTTGGACATTTTGGAAATCTTGGAATGTGTACTACAATCCATCTTTGAAATGAAAATTGAAATTCCAAGTGGAAGGGTATGAAAAATGGCCTTGAAGTGGGGTAGAAAACCTTGTCAAAATAGGTTAAAATTCTACTAAGTTAAAAATGGTTTAGTGCCCTTATTCAAAAAATTGTAACTTGAGATACAAGCTTCAAATGAGAAAACTTTGTGAATCAAAGTTGTATATTATGCAACAAGCTACAACTTTCATGTTTTGACTTTTGTTTGAATCCAAATGGATCTTGGTGAAAAGGTGGGGCAAAGTTGGGAAAAAATTAGGGTTTTTCATAACTTAGAAAAATTCTAAGTTATGAAAAATTCCATTTTCTAACCCTAATTTGCAATTTGTGATTTCTTGGTGAACAAGTTTCATGATTTGGCATATTTTGATGAAAAATGAATCTTGACTCTTGATTTTGACCAAAAAGTCAAAGTTTGACTTTTCAGTATACAGTCAAAACTGATCAATTGACTGGGAAATTCAACTGTCAATCTTGTGTACTTGGGATCTTTTGAACTTGTTGAGCATGTCAAGATAATTCCATGGGGTCCTTGAGTCCATATGTGGGCTTGGTTTGCCATTGGCTAGGTCAAACAGTCAAAAATTGCCTCTGTACAGTCAAAACCCTAAAAATGACCACTTTGCCCTTTTAGTGATCTGATCAAATTTCTTGTGGAATTGTGATCCAAACTTGATCAAATGGACCATATGAGTTCATAATGTTGATGTGGATCAAATTTCATGAGATTTGACTGTCAATTGGCCACAGTTGACTTTTTCCCCAATACAGTTGATTTCTAGGTCAACTGCCCAATTGACTGGGCAAAACTTGGAATCAAGACTTGAAACTTGGTATGGATAGACTTAGGAGGTCAATATGAAGCAAGAAAGTCATCTTGGGCACTTTAGGTCAAAACATCTTTGTGCAAACACAAACCCTAATTTGGGGTTAGCAATGCAAGGAGGAGTCTTGAGCAGATAAAACCCTAACTGGATCTTGAGCTTCAAGAGCTTTGTGAAGAGAAATCAATGAGAAATGGGAGGGCAAATTTTGGGGTACAACCAAGTGCATAACTGAACATGGAGTATATGTAAGAAGAAGCAAGAGTAAATTGCTTATACTATGTCTCTATGTAGATGATTTGTTGATAACAGGTAGGTGCAAGAGTGAGATCGAAGACTTCAAAGTTGATCTTAGCAAGGAATTCGAAATGTCTGATTTGGGTGAGATTTCATATTTCCTTGGTATCGAATTCCACAAGAGCAGTAGAGGTTTTATGATGCATCAAAGAAGATATGCAGGGGAAATTCTCAAGAGGTTTGAGATGGAAGAATGCAACTCAACTTCGACACCTGCAGAACCAAGACTACAACTGTCGAAAGATGCAGATGAAGATGATGTTGATCCAACCCAATACAGAAGACTTATTGGATCATTGAGATACCTTTGTCATACAAGGCCTGACTTAGCATACAGTGTAGGTATGGTAAGTAGATTCATGCAGAAGCCAAAGGTATCACATCTAGCAGCTGTGAAGAGGATACTAAGGTATCTCAAAGGAACTTTCGATTATGGCATTCTGTTTCCTGCAGTTGATAAAGGAAAAGAATGCAAGTTAGTGGGATACACTGATTCGAGTTGGTGTAGTGATGTTGAAGATCGAAAGTCAACAGCAGGATATGTGTTTATGCTAGGTGGTGCAACAATTGCTTGGAGTTCGAGAAAAGAACCAGTAGTAGCATTATCATCATGTGAAGCAGAATACATAGCTGCTTCTCTTTGTGCATGCCAAGCAACCTGGATGGTGAACTTGGTCGAAGAGATAACAGGGAAAAATCATGGAGCAATTACCATGAAGATAGACAACATGTCAGCTATCAACCTGGCGAAGAACCCAATAGCACATGGTCGAAGTAAGCACATCGAAATGAGGTTCCATTATCTTCGAGAGCAGGTAGCAGATGGGAAGATGAATTTGGAACACTGCAGAACTGAGAATCAGATTGCAGACATCATGACGAAGGGAGTGCAAGTCGAAGTATTCAGAAAGCTAAGGGCCATGATGAACATAGACAGTTTAGACACAATGAATTAGGTGGTGTGTTAAATTGTAATTCATAGGTGTCAAAAGAAGATTTGATTTGTTTAGATTTAAATAGATTTGAATTTAAATCTAGATTAGATTTGATTTAGTAAAGAGATATTTTGGGCTTGGGTTTAGCTTAGGGAGCAAGCTAACCTAAATCTATAAATAAGAGGGAGTAACCCTTATTTTTGAATTCAAGTCATTGAAGTCATTCACAGTATTTTGCAGTTGCAAAGTGAATAATAAAATTTCCACAGTTTGTGGGCAGAGAGAAACTCTGCAGAAATATCTCTATTGTCTTTTCTTAGTTTGTTTCATAACTAATCATCAGTGGTGGTCGAAATTCATCATAGAGTATTGGTGGATTTCCAACAATAAACATAAACAATATTCATTAACAAAGTATAAACATAATTAGCAATGAAATACTTTGGCACAATTGTCCAAACATGCTTTTCGCATTTAGTGCAGAAAATCCTTTTAAAGTCTGTCACAACGCTCTTGTTACAGACACATTTAGCATACCACCAAACGTTGCCACCAATAACATGTTTGATTATACCTAACACAATACAAACAATATTCTACATAGAAAAAAAACAATTATGTTAAGTTAACAAAATAAAAAGTAGATAATCCATCTCAAGTAATTTTTGTATGAATTGATGGAAAATTATTACATCTTGACAATCCTTCAGTTCCTCAATAGTTTTGTGTTGACTCAAGTTCAAAAATTCTTCTTCTAAACTCATCTCTGAAGCACCTTTCATATAATTGAATGGTTGTGTAGGTGAACCAATGTTATCGCGAACCTTTAAATTATCGGCCTCAAGAATTTCAGGGTTTAACAAAAGCTTGGTAGAGTTCATTGCATTTTGAAGTTGGACATTTCCATTATACAATTTCACTTTCAGATACTGAGCAACCACAACAACATTTCCATTACATCCAGATTGCAGAAAGGCGTCAAGGGCTTTAACATACGGTCCAAATAGCATGCGCTGAAGCTTAATTTTACATGAGTTATAAAATTTAGTCAGACAAATGATTAGAGCATTACATAACAGTATATAATATAACTCACATATAATATATCACCCATTGGATTCCAACTCAATAACTTTAAATTTAGTAGCTACACGATTCCTTTTATACACCCTTTTACGACCAACAGAAGACAAAATACCAATAACATCTGGGAAATATTTAAGAAATTAGAACTTTAGATGCACAACTATAAAAATATATGAAAAGACATGAAAAAATATACTGAAACATAAGGTATACTACCAATCAAGTAGTCCATGTCTATGTTTCCAAGAATATCTATAAAATATACAAACGAATAAGGCGATAATGTTATCATTCCAGTTCCAACATATGTGATAATCGTGCCATTCTGCAAATTCAATTTAAATTGGTGTTTCGTAGTCCTAAACGCTCCAGTATTAGCAACGACACAAAATGACTTGAAATTATACGAAGATCCCTCCTTAATTTTATTTTCAAATCGAGGCAACAAGGCTTTTCTAACAGAAGCTTGGATTTTGTCACCCTATCAAATCACAAACAATATACAATTCAGTTTATCTTAGTATAAATTTTTTTATTACAATTAAACTTAAACAATAAATGAAACAAACATATCACTTTATCATCCATGAGAACCATTTCCATAGCAAAATATTTATGTTTCACATTCATGTCTTGTACGAACCATAATCAGACAACTCGAACCATAATGTTCCACGACTCTTTTGCAGGAGTTATTTCATTAACAAAGTTGGCACCTCCGGAAGCCATGAACAAACCTAACACAAAAAGATGGATGCAAAATCGTGAGACGTGAATAATAACTATAACAACTATGAAGAAGAAATCCAAAGTGTTTACAATTTGTGACGAATAATACCTATTTATATCCACGAAATTCATATGGATTTCGCACAAAACAACATCAATTAAAACTGTGATTCATGGTTTTACCTGGGAAACATAATTCATTGATGAACAGAATTTGAAATCGCCTCTTAGATCTATCTGAATACATAAATCAGGGTTTGGAAAACATGAAGAATTTATTGCCCGATATACAGAACGTTGCATTTTGCACTGGAAGATGAAAAAATTGATTTCTGAGGGAAGTTGAATGGCTGCCGATGTACAGAACGCTGCATCTGTGTCTTGATATTAATGAGAGAAATTAAAAAATAAAATAAAAATAATAGTATTACATTAAAAGAAAGTTCCCATTTATATCAAAAATATAAATATAAGAATGGCCGAGAGATTGCCAAGTGACAAACTTGCCAAAGAACTCATCTTAAATTATTATATTGTATAGATATCAATAGAATCATAAGAAAAATAACTAACACCTAGATACTAAAATTAAATGAAATACTAAAGTAAATCCACAAATGACAATATATTTGTGAAATTATGTTATGATTAATGTTAGAATTATTAAGACTGAAAAATTAGATATGAGAGACGAGAAATATTTTGTGAGGAGGGATAAAGAGAATGAGAAAGTAACATTTGTTACCGGTTGAGAGCAAGTAAAATTAGGTGAAAGAAGTTTCTTATTCAATCTATCTCAAAATAAACTCAAAAAATGAATTTGAGTGACACATATTCAATCTTGTTTTGGGCTAACCAACAATCCATAATTATTGGCCCAATCTATAGGAACAATTAAGTCAAGAAAATTTCTTTATACAACTCTTAGGAGTGAGAAAAAATCCCTGAAAATCCAAAAATATCATTCGGAGATGTATCTCCGGACACACCTCAAATCAAGGTATTTCGGAGAAAGCACCAAAAATATCAAATTTTGGGATGAATTTGGAAAAATGCACTTCCGAAAATACATTTTCGAAATTAAAAAAAAAACAATCACGGAATGTTTCGGAAGTGTACTTCCGAAAACACCCTTTTGTTAAAAAATAAGGGATTGTTTCAGAAGTGCATTTTCGAAACATGCTCTAACACAGGATAAGAATTATTGGGATAAAATTGCTCCAAATCTTCTATAAATAAGGTGTCTAAACCATTTCTTCAACATCATACATCACAAATCAATTATCAAAATGTTGTGATGTCCTCAGTTACCCGCTTATAGCAACATGTAATATTAAATTTATGTTTCAATATCTATGTAATTTCGACTTTTAATGTTAAATTTATGTTATTGTTTATGTAATATCTATGTAATATCAATGTTTCAATATCTATGTTATATCTATATAATTTTCTGTTTCAAGGTTTATGTTTTGCTGAAATCATTCAGTGTGTATTTCGGAAATGTACATCTGAAATATAGCATTGGATATCTTCAGAAATACATATCCGAATTCACCCCCAAGAAAATAAAATTTAGTAACTTCGGTAATACATCTTCGAAATCACTCCAGAAAAAAAATGAAATTTCTTAACTTCGGCAATACATCTTCGAAATCACCCCAGAAAAATGAACTATGGTGCATTTGGAAATACATCTCCAAATTCTGGGGGTAAAAACGGAATTTCACCAGAAGTTGCTAAGAAGGTGTAAGGGTGGGAAAAGAAATTCCCTTCAGTCAAGGTGTATCAAAAATACATATGAACATGCATTAATGGGCACTACACAAAAGCATACCCCTCCCGTTGATATGCATCTAACGGTTACCCGATCACAAAACCTAATGTCACATCCCTAAGTATTTGGAGAAGCTTTCAAAGTTGGTCATCATCAACAACATTCAACAAATGAAGAAGAAGAAGAAGAAGAAGTTAAGAGAGTACATTGATATATTCACCATAGAAGATATGTAAGTTATAAAAGCTAACGAAAAAAATCAACATGTTAGGTCTTTGAGATAGACTTGAGGTTAGATTACATGTTTAGAGAGGAACTGAGATTATAGGAACTTTAGAGAATAAGTGAGTTGTTTGCTCGAACTCAACCATGCATTAACTATGAAGATAAGTTAATGGTTGAAAATGCAGATAGGAGCAAGATACATGGGATGTTTTAGGACAATAAGTGACGGTAAGAGGAGACTATGAGAGAAATAAGGGACCTCAGTCCCAGCTCTTAAAGTACACCCTACTGAACACGTCTAAAGAGAGAATATTATAAGATTGTACCAACATATAATTTAAAGAATAAAAAATTTGATTTATTCTTTTAAGTTGAGAAATAGAGCCGAAGTTGATATATTGACGGAGTTAAAAGTTAGAGATCATGGGTTGAAAGTCTACCATGATATCTAGATGTCATGATCAATGTTAATATATTTTTTTAATATTCATGGATTGGATAGTCGGATTAAGAAGGATAATGTGCAGGAATTTATCTCATATAATTATTTAGAGTTTGTGGGGACTCAACTAAATAGAATGAGTGTTTACAAATTTTATTTTTATTAAATATATTTAATAAAATAAAATTGAAAATATTTAAATAAAAAGATCTTATTTATGTTTTTGGTATATGTATTTAGGGACGAATTCAACAAATTATTCATAAAACCCTCCAATATCAAACAGCTGTTTTCTTAACATCTAAAATAATTAACAAATGCCGAGTGCTTCATTAACATATGTTTAGTGTATCGTTCTATCTTGAAAATTGAATAAATAATAATTGTAAGAAAACACAACAACGAGCTGGTTTGCCCGAGAGGTTAAGGGGGAAGACTTAAGATCTTCTGCACATAAGTGCGCGTGGGTTCGAACCCCACAGCCAGCATATTTTTTGTCATTTTTCCTTATTTTACACGAATGTTATTTTGTTCATACTAGATTAAGAATAGAACCACCAATGTTTCGTCTATGCACCATCATGCGGCGTGTTCTCGATGTTAGAAGACAGAGACACCTTAAACTGAGTATAAGTACGAGGAAGAAAGAAATTGTAACAAACAGTTCAAACGTGAAAGACCTCGACATCCTTAAATGGAACAAAACCATTTCTACTCACATGCGCAATGGCTACTGTGACTCTGCTCAACATGTCTTCAACACCATGCCTCGTCGAAGCTCTGTCTCCTACAATGTCATGATATCTGGTTACTTGAGAAACTCCAAGTTCAACCTTGCACGGGAGCTGTTTGATCAAATGCCTGAAAGAGACTTGTTTTCATGGAATGTAATGCTTACTGGCTATGTCAGAAACCGTCGACTCCGTGATGCACGTAGATTGTTTGATTTAATGCCTGACAAGGATGTTGTTTCCTGGAATTCTTTGTTGTCTGGGTATGCTCAGAATGGGTATGTTGATGAGGCAAGGGAAGTTTTTGATAATATGCCTGAGAAAAATTCTATCTCTTGGAATGGTTTGCTTGCTGCTTATGTTCATAATGGCAGAATGGAGGAGGCTTGTCGGTTGTTTGAGTCCAAATCGGATTGGGAATTGATTTCTTGGAACTGTTTGATGGGTGGGTTTGTTAAGAGAATGAAGATAGGTGATGCTAGGCGGCTTTTTGACAATATGCCTTTTAGGGATGCAATTTCATGGAATACTATGATTTCAGGTTATGCCCAGGTTGGAGATTTGTGGCAGGCTAGGAGATTGTTTGATGAATCTCCATCACGGGACGTGTTCACGTGGACAGCTATGGTGTCTGGGTATGTGCAGAATGGAATGCTGGATGAAGCTAGAATTTTTTTTGATGATATGCCTCAGAAAAATGAAGTTTCGTACAATGCAATGATTGCCGGTTATGTGCAATCCAAGAAAATGGATATTGCTAGGGAGTTGTTTCAAGCTATGCCTTGTCGAAATATAAGTTCGTGGAATACCATGATTACAGGCTACTGTCAGAATGGAGACATTGCTCAGGCTAAATTATTGTTTGATATGATGCCGCAGCGTGACTGTGTATCTTGGGCGGCTATTATTGCTGGTTATGCTCAAAGCGGTCACTATGAAGAGGCGCTGAACATGTTTGTAGAGATAAAACGAGATGGAGAAAGTTTAAATAGGGCTGCATTTGGTTGTGCTTTGAGCACATGTGCTGATCTTGCTGCTTTGGAGTTGGGGAAACAAATTCATGGGCAGGCGGTGAAGACAGGGTATGAAACTGGGTGTTTTGTGGGGAATGCGCTTCTCGCAATGTATTTTAAATGTGGCAGCATAGACGAAGCTAATGATGCTTTTGAAGGAATTGAGGAGAAAGATGTCGTCTCTTGGAACACAATGTTAGCTGGTTATGCCAGACATGGATTTGGCAAACAAGCTTTAGTGATATTTGAGTCAATGAAGACAGCAGGTGTTAAGCCTGACGAGATTACCATGGTATGTATATTTTATACGTTTCATATGTGTTTAGGTTTTTATTTAGAGCTTATCTTTAGCATGACCGTCTACTCATTTATCGCTTTGCGTGGAAGTGTGAAAAACTGGTTCTTCATATTTTACATAACTACATTTAATTTATACGTAGCTGGTTTACAAATTAATCATTTGATTGAATTGCTGTCAGTGAATATGATCAAAACATCTCCTAGGGAAATACCTGGTTGCCACATGTAATATTAGACTCTGCTTATTGTTATTTTTTTTATCATGTTTCAGGTTGGTGTTCTCTCTGCCTGTAGTCATACTGGCTTGCTAGACAGGGGAACTGAGTACTTCTATTCGATGAGTAAAGATTATGGTGTAACACCAACTTCAAAACATTATACTTGCATGATCGATCTTCTTGGCAGAGCAGGCCGCTTGGAAGAAGCACAGAACTTGATGAGAAACATGCCTTTTGAGCCAGGTGCTGCTTCATGGGGAGCTCTACTTGGTGCAAGCCGGATTCATGGCAATACTGAACTGGGGGAGAAGGCTGCTGAGATGGTTTTTAAGATGGAACCTCAGAACTCGGGAATGTATGTCCTTCTTTCAAATTTATATGCATCTTCGGGCAGATGGGTCGATGCTGATAATATGAGATTGAAGATGAGGAACGTTGGTGTACAGAAAGTACCCGGCTATAGTTGGGTTGAGGTACAAAACAAGATTCATACGTTCTCAGTTGGGGATTGTTTCCATCCAGAGAAAGAGAGAATATATGGTTTCTTGGAAGAGCTGGATCTAAAAATGAGGGAAGAGGGATATGTTTCTTCAACAAAATTGGTTCTGCATGACGTGGAAGAGGAAGAGAAGGAGCATATGCTCAAGTATCACAGTGAAAAGTTAGCTGTAGCATTCGGAATTCTAACCATACCAGCTGGCAGACCAATACGCGTCATGAAAAACTTGCGTGTGTGTGAAGACTGTCATAGTGCCATCAAGCACATATCCAAAATTGTTGGAAGGTTGATAATCTTAAGGGATTCTCACCGCTTTCACCACTTCAACGAGGGTATTTGTTCTTGTGGTGATTATTGGTAAAATGGAGATCACGGATATGGTCAAACTTAACACTTTCTGGGCCTACTATATTGTCATTGAAGAAGTGCTGATAGCAGTGAGGAGTGCAGCCATATCCGGCCGGTTGGTAATAAAATTAGTGTCCATGTGAAATGAGGTGATTGGAAAATCTGAGTTACTAACTGAAACTACTTCATACTGGTCAAGAGGAGGAGGTATCTTCCGATGAAAGTTTGAATTCGATAACTATCTTTGAGTTATATCAGAGACCATAAATCACTGAAATGTAAAAGATAGCATGGAATGTATGAAGAGTAAGCTGAATTACCAGACAGATATAGAGATGCTCTTCATAAAGTTTTGGCAACTTGTCAAAGTCCTTGGTACACAAGATAGGAAATAGGAAAATGGGTGCAACAGCAACTTCTAACAAACCTATGTTGCTTGCTACTCATTGAGCATCCCTTACAAATATTATGAAATGCTTCATTTTATAATTTTTTTTTCTAATGTATTTGAAATTATTGGTAATCCTGTTTTGTATTTTACCCATACAAAAGATACTGTCCCAAAATCTTCTAGGTATATGTTTGGATGTGCGTTTGCTATGCTTTTCTCGCATCCCAATGTTGTTTTAACGTGGAATTGAAGAAACTACAAGTTGCACGCTAGGAATGTCATAACCTTGTCATGAGATGTTTCATTCCAAATAGCTCATTCCATGTCTCTCAGCACACCACCATTCGTGCGGTATGACAGATGAACAATTTAAAGTGTTGAGTGAATCATCAGAAAGTCGTTTCTGTATTACACATGGTTCTTATTAGTGATTTTGCCGATGCCAAAATGTACATGCTAGCAGGTGAATAACAATGTTTTGTTTATTTATAATGAGAAGGAAATGCTCTGACAGAATGTTCATCCTTGTTTCAAAATATATCACTAGTATTATAGTATACATTGGGTTTTGGTACACACAAATACATCCTAAATTACAAAACCTAATGTGGTATTACAAAATGACATTTCGTGACAATGAGTTCTCATGTTAGCTTCTAGCACAAACAGGAAGAATTTCTACGCAATGTTTCAAAATCGTAATTAAACTAGAATTAAGCATGCAGGGCAGCCATGTTATCTGTCAATTCGTCTGCTGCGTCGTCATTGTCCTCTATAATTGGTTCCTGCTAATACAAGAAATGCATTTTATTGAGTAGGAATTTGAATGTACACGGCAAAAATGATTTAAAGATAAATGTCTATTGTTCAGTCACAAATAAAAACTCAGATTAATGTTTTTCAGAATTTGACAATAATCATATTGTGCAGTCACAAAAATTCAGATTAATGTTTTTCAGAATTCACAATAATCATGTTGTGCAATCACAAAAATTCAGATTAATGTTTTTCAGAATTGACAAAAATTCATATTGTGCATATTTTTCTTTCACAAATTTGTTTGCTGCATAATTGTAATTTTCTTTAGTATAGTTAAAATTTTACTCCAAAGTTCAAAGAAGTACATTCTTTATTATACAATTGAAATACAAGAGACTAAGAGACATTTGAATAAACAGTGTGTCTGAATAGCACACCAGAAAATGTATTATATAGGAGAAAATACAAATCCTAATATTAATTACATAGATATTCTATCTTATTCTAGAATACACTAAGGAATATTCTAAGAAATATTCTAGAGAATATTCTCTTTATATACATATACATATATATTTATCAACACTCTCCCTCATACTTGAGCATATAAGTCAAATGCACCAAACTTGTTATATATATAATTGATTCTGGGGCTTTGAAGAGATTTTGTAAACACATCTGCCAATCATTCGAGTTGACAAAGCTTGTGGCAATGTTGCCTGACTCGATCTTCTCTCTGGCAAAGTGACAGTCTATCTCAATATGTTTGGTCCTCTCATGGAAGACCGGATTTGAAGCAATGTGTAATGCAACTTGATTATCACAAATAAGTGTCATTGGTCTCGCTTCTTCAATTAGAAGTTCCTTGAGCAACTGTTTTAACCAAATAAGTTCACATGTTGCCATCGCCATGGTCCTATACTTTGCCTCGGCGCTTGATCTTGCAACTACATTTTGTTTCTTGCTTTTCCAAGATATAAGGTTTCCTCCAACAAGTACACAATACCCAGAGGTGGATCGTCTATCAATGGGTGACCCTGTCCAATCAGCATCAGAGTATCCAACTATCTGAATATGTCATTTGTCTTCATACACAAGAGCTTTTCCTGGAACACACTTAATGTACCTTAGAATCCGGACAACAACATCCATGTGTTCCTGGCAAGGAGAATTTAAGAATTAACTTATCACACTAACTGCAAAAAGAAATGTCCTGACGAGTGACTGTGAGATGATTCAACTTTCCAACCAATCTCCTATACCTTCCTGAGTCGGATAGAGGCTCCCCCTGATTGGGTAGCAGTTTAACACTTGGATCCATAGTAGTATCAGCTGATTTAGCATTCAACAACCTTGTTTCTTCCAAAATATTCATAGCATACTTCCGCTGGAAAATCACCAAACCATCTCTAGATTGGACCACCCCAATTCCCAAGAAGTAGCGGAGTTTACCAAGATCTTTTGTCTGAAATTGTTCGAGAGATGTTTCAACTGGAGTATCCCCTGATGATCACTGTCAATTATGACAATATCATCTACATATACAATAAGATAGATACATCATTGGGCAGAGTGACGCTAAAACAAAGAATGGTCAGCTTCACTACGGACCATATTAAACTGTTGTACTACAGTGCTGAATCTGCAAAACCAAGCTTTCGGAGATTGCTTAAGACCATAAAGAGACCTGTGTAGCCTACAAACCATATTCGAGGACGCTCCCTGAGCAACAAACCAAGGTGGTTGCTCCATATATACTTCCTCTTCAAGATCACCATGTAAAAATGCATTTTTGATGTCAAGTTGATGAAGAGGCCAATGTCGAATGCATGCAATGGCTAGAAGAAGTCTAACATATGTCATTTTGGCTACAGGCGAGAAGGTATCACTATAATCCAACCCAAAAATCTGAGTTATCCTTTGGCCACCAAGCGAGCTTTAAACCGATCGATCTTACCATCTAGTCCAACCTTCACTGTATAAAGCCAACGACAACCTACTACAGATTTTCCAAGGGGTAGAGGTACCAGTTCCCAGGTACCACTGCTTTGAAGAGCACGCATTTCATCTATCATTGCTTGCCTCCACTCAGGGTGAGATAATGCTTCACTTGGAGTGTTAGGAATAGAAACAAAAGACAAAGAAGACAAATACGTATACTGCAAAGGGGAAAGACGATGATAACATAAATCAATATAATGTGGAGAAGGATTGCGTGTTAGACGTATACCTTTTCGAAGGGCAATCAGAAGATCAGACTTAGGTTGCAGGATCGGATTCGATGATGGTGAAGGCGTCGGAGGAGAATCTGCAATGACCTCAGGAACAGGTACTGTCTCAGGGATAGGTACAACAGACATGGGTTGGCAACGCTGATATGTTTGAAGTGGGTGAGAAGTGGGGGGGTCAACCGTAGGATTTTCTAGTGGGCCAGGTTCCCTAGAATGATGGGGGATAATGGAAAATGGGACTTCCGGAAGAGGAGTGAGAGTATTTTCCTGAAGGGGTTCCGGAGTTACTTGGCTGGACTCGAAATATGGAACAGACTCGAAGAAGGTAACATCGGCTGATACGAGGTATCGTTGTAGAGTATGTGAGTAGCAACGATAACCCTTTTGAGATCGATGATAACCAAGAAAGACACACTTTAGTGATCGAGCTGATAGTTTATCAAGACCAGGGGAGAGATTGTGTATAAAACACGTAGACCCGAAGGCTCGAGGAGGAATTGGGTGAAGAGGATAGTCTGGAAACAAGATTGAACGAGGGATTTTATTATTAAGGACAGATGAGGGCATGCGATTTATGAGGTAACATGCCATGAGCACAGCATCCCCCCAAAACCGAAGAGGAACATTACCATGGAGAAGGTCCGAGTGGTTTCTACGAGATGCCGATTTTTGCGTTCGACTACCCCGTTTTGTTGAGGTGTATGAGCAAGATGTTTGGTGGAGAACACCATTACTGGACATAAAAGTTTGAAATTGTTAGGGGATAAGTATTCACGAGCATTATCACTTCTTAAGGTACGAATAGACACATCAAACTAAGTTTTTATTTCTTTATAAAAATTTTCAAAAATAGAAAATAATTTAATCTATTTTCCATTAAAAATAACCACGTGCAACTTGAAATATCATCAATAAAGGTGACAAATACCTAGACTCAAGAGTTGAGACAATACATGAGGGACCCCAAACATCGGAGTGAACTAAAGCAAAAGGGGACAAAGCTTGTTTCTTGACTCGATTGGAAAATTGACTACGAGTGTGTTTCCCTAACTGACACGACTCACAATGTAAATTAGATCCCTTCGATAAATTTGACACCAACTTTTGTAGTTTTGGAAGACTAGGATGACCTAATTGAGCATGGATAGTGAGTGTAGAATCTTTGGCTGAGCATTACTGAGATGACACTGAGAGGTAATAAAGGCCTTGAGACTCACATCCAACACCAATCGTCCGTCCCGAACTCCGATCCAGTAGGGTGACATTACTATTAGTGAAGGTGACAATACAATCAAGAGAACGAGTTAAACGACTGACTGAAAGTAAATTAAATGGACAATTAGGTACAAAGAGAACAGAAGTAACAGAGAGAGGATAGAATTTGAACAGTACCAATTCCTTCAGATTGGGTTTGAGAACCATTGGCAGAAGTTATAGTAGGTAGGAAACCAGAAGTAGAGAGGGAAGAGAAAAAAATTTATTACCGGTAACATGATCAAACGCACCAGAATCAAGTATTCAAGGTCCAAGAGAAGATGATTGAGAGAGGCAAGCAGATGATTTACCAGTATGGGCAACCGAACCGAAGCAGTAGAATTTGAGTTCTGATAATCCTGATACCACCTAAGAAAATCATCGTAGTTTGGCGTAAAGTTCCGAGGAGTAGCCATGAGAATCTGAATAGAGAAAATATCACACGAACCAGGTGAACAAGACTATGTTTGGACTGGATCACAATTTTGTGAGTGGAAAATAAAATTTGAGACCGGATCTGGAACAGTTGCACGGTGGCGATTGAGGCGGTGGAAAAATCGCCGGGATCGGAGGAGGCACTTCTGCCAGTAAGATTAGTTTGCCGGAAGGTCGCCGAAAAACAATAGCAACGGTGGCGGAAGTGCGGTGGTGACCGGAAAATTTTGAAAACTGATGCCAGAATGAGTCACGGCAGTGTATGGAAGGCAAATCGGAGTTATGACACAGTTTGCCAAAAATTTCTCACCGGAAGACAGTGGGTCAATCGGGTAAAGCACGGCGAAAGGTTGTCTCTCAGTAGGCTCTAGATACCATATTGAAATACGAGAGACTAAGAGATATTTAAATAAACCGTGTATCTGAATAGCACAACGGAAGATGCATTATATAGGAGAAAATACAAATCCTAGTATTAATTACATAGATATTCTATCCTATTCTAGAATAATACACTAAGGAATACTCTAGATAGTATTCTCTTTATATACATATATAATTATCAACGATTTTATATTATGTTTTATGAACTTATAAATATCCTAGATTTATCCTATCTTACATTTTGAAGAAAAAAAATGATCATTGCTATATCATCATCGTATCCAGACAGATAATCGTGCACAACACCATTTTGAAACCATTTTTTGGATATTCTTATTATTGCATAACTTAAGGTAAGAGCTTCCTATTTGATAAGATAGAGATAACTACCTCTGGATCTTTACTTCTTTTCACATCTATACACTTTGAAGCACTAATGCTGGCACTCTTCAACAAGCTACGTGGACTCTGAAGATTTGGTCCAGTCTGAGTCGGCATTTCAATATCGTTGTTTTCATTATTTTCATTCTTGGAAGTATGAACTCGTTCTCTGCAAAAAGTGAAATTGCAGTGCTCAATACATATGACTCAAACAACAAAAAATGTTTCAGAGGCATGTTGCCATCCTGGTCTGTAAACCCGTGGATAATAACATACTAAACACATAAATCCCTTTTCCAAAACAAAAAAAAAAACCCGCAAAAATCCCCTATTTAAACAGGTTCATCTAGCTTGGACCAAAAAGAATTGAACTGCTAAGGCTAGAAATTGTTCACAGAATCAAATACTGACAAATATTTACCTTGGTAAGGAGGCATGTTGTCTCTGCAATGGTGAGCTTCGTTCGCCTTTGCCTTTGCCATTGCCATAATGTTCCTCAAGATGTGCAAACTGTCGCTTGAATCGATCAACCCCACTATGCAACAACATAGAATTACTAACTAATAACCAACATGTGTAAATTTTGAGTTTTAAAGAAGCCACTATGCTTATTAATTCTTGGATGACATGCACAACACAATTAATTATCAGTAATTTGATGCAGGCAAAGATTTATCTGTTACAAGGATGAGCATCAACAAAAGTTTGAGTCGCAATAAAATTGCAATATAGTCCCTACATAAAATAATTCAATTTAAAATTTAACAAAAAACAGGTGCTTTATAGTCTCAGTAGTGACTAAAAAAAGTCCTTATTAAAGCAAAATATGGACTAAAATTAAGTAAAGTTTATGTAAGGACTATACTCCTATATAAGGACTAGTATATTTTATAGAAATTTGCAAATAAATCAATCAATAAATAAAATCAACCTTTAAATGCAACAACGTTAAACTCATACAGGAGCTCCTGATAATTAATATATGTACTGGTACGTATCAAGCCTTCAACAAATCGGCAAGCTTATTTACCTTGGATACATGAAGCTGGTTTGATCTCCACCACTAAGATATTCCTCAAGCATCTGGGGATGATACTCCAAAATCTGTGTATTTTAACGTATAATTAACTATTACAACGCAAAGGGTAAAATATCATTTGAAGCAAGGATGAGTGAAATGCATGGCCATACCTCTCGATAAATCAACTCTCTGACATCATCTTTAGTCAATTTCCTCCTCTCGAATTCAAACTCAAGTTTTGAAATGGGGTGAGTGGATGGCTCGCGATCGATGTTTGATAAGCCATGGAAATAAGGATCAGACAAAGCCTGATATCACAAGCATAACAGAAACAACAAAATTTCCCCTTTGTTAATTATCAATAATTTTTTCTTCTTTGGAAGGTAATCATATGCAAGTTATAGAGACCAACCTCTTCAGCTGATGGACGATTTTTAGGATCAAATGCAAGTAAACGCTCCAGTATACGTAGAGCCAAAGGATCTATATTTGGAAATTTCTGGGAGAGTGGAACAGGATGCTTTTTTCGCATGCTATTAAGATACCTTCTAGCTTTCTCATTTCGAATCTGAAATAAAATTAATACTTAAGAATTTACATATATACAAGAGGACAGGGGAGAGGTTGTAAAATGAAGCTTCAATTTATAATAGAGGAAGAACTTTTCAGAAACACTAGAAATTCAGCATTAATCTGACTACACCGAGTCACAACATGCATATTGATTTCAAAAAACTGCAGAGTAGATTTTGATATACTAACTCTCGCAATGGACTCGGGAGGAGGAGTACCGAGCAAATCAGTCATGAGATCTAATTGGTGCACCACATTTTTTCCAGGAAATAATGGCCTCCCAATAAGCATTTCTGCAAATATGCATCCAATGCTCCAAATATCAATTCCAGGGGTATACTGCATAAGACGAGGAGTATAAATTACATGATATTTCAATACATCAAGTGTAGTTAACTTGTTGTATCACACACATACACAGCCGAATAAAATATGATGCCAAAAAAAAAAAAAATGAAAAAAGAAGCTTACTTTTGAGAAAAAAGAACCGCATAGCTCAGGTGCACGGTACCACCTAGTTGCAACATAGTCCTAATGTTAAGTGAGTATAGAGGTTAGAGACGTAGGTTCCAAGTTCGAACTGAAAATATTAAAAGGCAAAACATTAGAGTACTTACTGTCCAGAAGATAGCAGATGGAGCATCATTAAATGAGACTCGGGCAAGTCCAAAATCGCATATCTTGAGTTTGCAATCAGCATTAGCAAGAATGTTTTTAGGCTTCAAATCACGGTGAAACACATTAGCTGCAAAAAAAGCAATACATTAGTTAAATTTGATTAAATAAGCATGTGAAAAAGTGAAGGAGTCTGTTTTAAGAAACCTGTATGTATAAATTTGAGGCCCCGAAGAAGCTGGTACAAGAAAAATTGATGGTGGTGAGGCGTAAGATCGTCATTTGCCTTAATGACTTGATGTAGATCAGATTCCATCAACTCGAAGACAACGTAAACATCCTTGAACTCCCTGCGCGAAGGAGGAAGCATAATATGCCTAATTTCTACAATATCAGGATGTCTAAGCAAGCGCAAGAGCTTAATCTCTCTAAGGATCCTTGTAGCATCTGATACATGGTCGAAAACATCATGAATTTTCTTGATTGCAACTTTCTGGCCAGTATGAATATCAATCGCAGAGCAGACAACACCATAACTTCCTTTTCCAATAATTTCTTGGACCTGATATTGACTTGCCTCGCCATACTCAGTAAAAAACTCAGTCTCCGGCGCAGCCTGTTTGAAAGAAGAAAGCATTTAGTTACATCATTTGAAAGACAATCATAAACAAGGCAATAGTACCTTTTTGTTTGGATCCATGGAAGAAGGAAGGAAGAGAGGTTGAACGGGAACTTTGATGTTGAAGAGGGATGGTGACTTAGTAGGAGGAGGACTGTGATCGTGATCGTTAGTGGTTGGAATAATTGCCAGCTGTGAGCGTAAATCTTTCACGGAGACGCGGTTGTCGTCGTCGTCGTCATCATTGCGGTGGTGGTGCTTAGTGGTAGTAGTAGATCGTCGTTGAAACAAACGACGAAGCCCTTCGCCGATCGTTCCTCCGCCACCCATCTAGTCTTACATTTACCATTCAATCAATCAACTTTTGACTCTATCTTTCTCTCTCTGTCACTATCTTTGTTATGCAATCATTTCTTTTTTATTTACTAATATAATATTCATCAGGGAATGGTAATGGGAGAGGAAAAGAGGGAAAATTGAATTTGCAGTTTTTTTTTTTTTTTTTTAAAGTTTGGTTTTAGATCTTATCCTATCGTCTTATACACGAGAGTTATTTTACTTGCATAATCAACTTTATGAGTTGCTTTTACAATGTCTTTCTTTCTTTTCTTCCAACTTCAACCTTGCTGTACAGTCAACTCAATTCTCTTTGATTTCTCATTTTATTAGCTGTCAATTAATTGTCTATTTTCATTTTTTATAATCTAACCTCAAATAACCTTAACAGATTTTGTTTCACCGCAAAAATTATTTTGAATAAATTTAGATTCTCAAATTGAATTCAAGATTAAATCATTTATATTTTTATGTTAAAATGAGTTAAATAATTAATTATAATGCAAAATTATGTTTATAGTTGAAACTTATAAACTTTAATGCAAAGTTTATATTCATATTCTCTCTATAAAATTATCATATCTAAAGGCATGTTTGCCAAAATTACACTTTTAAGTTTTTATTCAACACATAATAGCGGTGGTGAAACTTTGATAAAACAATCATATATTAAAATATTTGGTCTGTACAAAAAAAAAATATTTATATTTTAAATCATTTGATAGGAAAAATAATATAATTAATAAAAATAAATTTTATGATTCTAATCTAATGAAAAAGTTTAAAACTGTACAAAATAATTTACTTATGTACTTATATAGTCAAATATTTGTTGATATATTATGATTCTTAATAAAACCAATAAATAAAGGAGGTTAGTCTCATTTTTACTTTTGTAATCAACCATTGTTATTGAAGTTCTTGTTTTGTAGAATGACAAGTTTATTTTTAAATGTCAGTGCACTTATCTATTAGATATTTTACATGATGTCAAAATTAAAATAATTTTAGCATTTTTGTATATTGAGTGATATCTCTAAGTTTTTATGTGCACTATTGTATTAGGGATCTTAAAATATATTTAGAACATGTTTGAAAAAGATACAGTGCATTAAAACTGAGTTTTACTGGAGATCTACAACTTTCATGTTGAAAGTTTCTTCTGAATCATCTTGCATCATGGTGAAAAATTTGCTCAAAGTTGTGAAAAAACATGAAGTTTTAAACACTTAGAAAAATTTCTAAGTTAGAAAATTTTGACTTTTCAAAATGAAATCTTGACTTTTTGATTTCTTGATGAATAAGTTTCATATTTTGACATGTTTGGATGAATTGTGATCTTTGACATTTGATTTTGACCAAAAAGTCAAAGTTTGACTTTTCAGTGTACAGTTGACTTTTGATCAGTTGACTGAAAATTCACTATCAATCCAATTGATCTTGAGCAATATTTTGGATCATGCCATTAGGTCAAAATGATGCAATTGAACTCTTAAGATCATGCCTCAAACCACTTAACCATTTGCTAGGTCAAAAATCAGAAATTGCCTTTCCTCAGTCAAAACCTTAATTTTGACCATTTTGCCCTTTTGATGATTTGATCAAATTTTTTGAGGAATTATGGTCCAAACTTGATCAAATGATACATATGAGTTTATAATGTTGATATGGATAAAAAATTATGAAGTTTGACTGTAAATTGGCCACAGTTGACTTTTTCTCCAATACAGTTGATTTTTAGGCCAACTACTCAATTGACTGAGCAAAAATGTGATCCAAGGCTTGAAACTTGACGTAAGTAATCTTGGGGGTCCATAATGATCCATGAAAGTCATATGAGGTGTCTTGAGTTGATCAACCTTAGTGCAGTCTTAAACCAAGAGAGATATTTTGTGAGAAAATAATTGATAAGTGAGAGGAAATTTTTTTAGATACAACAGCTACCCCTGTTCAATCTTTTTAAACCTGAAGAGTTAGATTGGCGGATTTATCATTCGTGACTTGAAGGTGGAAGATGATTGGACACTAGAGTTCCCAGAGATTTGCACTCGAGGATGTGATGGTTGATGGTATAGGGAATGGGCTTAAAGATGACATTTGGAGAGATGATGGAAAGTTGTTGGAGATGGGCTTACAGATGTCATCCAAAAATGATTGTTAATGGGAAGGGAAGAAGTGTCAGAATAAATCTTTGTTTGATTTATAATGAAGTACTGGGTGCGTGGGGTTGAGTACCAGAATAATATCCATAAACGGATTGTATTTGACTCATTTCTGAAAGTTGAATTTGAATGAGTAACAGAATGACATCAGAATATGATCATATCTGAACTGTATCTGAAAGTTGAATTTAAATGAGTATCAGAATGGCGTTCGTGTCTGGAGCGTATCTGAAAGCTGAATCTGAATGAGTATCAAAATGGCATCCGTGTCTAGAGCGTATCTGAACTAGATCTGAAAGCTGAATTTGAATGAGTATCAGAATAGTGTCTGTGTCTGGAGCGTATCTGAACTGTATCTGAAAGCTGACTCTGAATGAGTATCAGAATGGTGTCCGTGTCTGAAGCGTATCTGAAAGTTGAATCTGAATGAGTATCAGAATGTCATCCATGTCTGGAGCGTATCTGAACTGTATCTGGATGTTCAGCTGGTCATGTAGATAATAGTCCTGGCTTATTTCAGGTATCAATCTCTGACCTTTTTGTAAATTGTTGATGATAGCCATCGGCTAACTGATCTTTTCTGAAGAGATGAAAGATTAGTTGTATGCAATGTCATGATGTATGAAATGCATTGTATAATGATGTTCTCAATAAAATGAATGAGATTATGTTGTATGGGTTCGTGTTGTCAATGTCATGACGTATGGACGTGATGTATGGGAATGTAAGCTATGCTGTTGTAATACTGCTGGATTAGGGAAAATAAATCCCTGACTGTTGTTGGGGACGTGGAGCGTAAGTCTTCATGTTTTGAAGTGTTGATGAGTTGATGAGTTGATGAGATTTTATTTAGAGAAATAAATTTTGTTGTAAGGGAAACATCGTGTGTTGCTTGTGAAATCCTGTTGAGGAATCCTGAGAAATTTGGCAACTTCTACCGGGGAGTGATAACTGGAAGTTTTGTTTCGCTGAGATTAAGCTGCACACTGTGGGGGATTTTATGGAATAGTTTAAAGATATTATCTTGTTTCTTAAAGCCATTAGCGATTGTCTTTCTATTTTGTGTTCCTTTTTGTTCATTTGTAAACAATAGTTACGTTCAAATGCAGATGTTCAAAAATAAATCATTGGACGTTTTTGTAAACAAAACACAGGAATAAAGAAAAAACATATAGTTTTTGCACTTTCAAAGGGGTATCTTTGTATTAACTTGAACAAGTATTTTTGTACAATGAGACAATCATTCTAGTAAGGGAATGTTGTCGTAAAAAATGAAAATTTAATATAAAGAAAAGATATCTATGTGCAATAATCCCACGGAGTTCCCATTCTGCTATAGCCTTCGTGTCTCTGAGCGTCTTGTCCATTTGTTGCCTTGTCTGAAGTTGATTGGATTGATCAGAACCATTGAGTTTGTCAATCAAAGCCAAAGGTTGTCTGTGAGGTGATCCAATTGGACATAGTCATACACTTTAAATCCCTAACTTTTGTCTGGACCGCCCTTTCGGGTTTTCAGTCCACCAGGATACCCTTTTTTGCCCAAGTCGCCCTTTCGGGTTTTCAACTTGCCGGGTGTCCAGACTTTTTGTTTTATCCCTAATTTTTGCCCGAACCTTTTTGGTTCTCCGAGATGCCCTTGTTTTGCCTAGGTGTGTCAACCTAGCGGGTCTCTTATGCGTAGTATCTTTTGACTATGTCCGCGTTCACATGGTGCGGCAGGTTGTCGCCATCCATAGTGGTCAAGATCATTGCTCCACCAGAGAATATGCTTTTGATCACAAATGGCCCTTTGTATGTAGGGGTCCATTTTCCCCTGGGATCACCTTGCGGCAGTATGATGCGCTTGATCACCAAATCCCCGACTTGATACACTTGGCGTCTGATATTTTTATTGAAAGCCTTGATCATCCGTTTTTGATACATTTGACCATGACAGATAGTAGTAAGCCTTTTCTCATCAATCAAGTTCAGTTGATCAAGTCGAGTTTGGATCCAATCGTCTTCATTCAACCCTGCATCCTTCATGATTCTCAGAGAAGGGATCTGGACCTCAATAGGCAAGACAGCCTCCATGCCGTATACCAGAGAGTAAGGTGTTGCCCCGGTTGATGTGCGCGTCGTGGTACGGTAACCGTGGAGGGAGAATGGTAGCATCTCATTCCAGTCCTTGTAGGTTACTATCATTTTCTGTATGATATTTTGATGTTCTTATTTGCGGCTTCGACAACACCATTCATCTTTGGCCAGTAAGGGGAAGAATTGTGGTGCTGGATCTTGAATTGCATACACAATGCGGTGATCATAGTGTTGTTGAGATTCATACCATTGTCTGTGATGATCCTCTCCGGGATACCATACCGACAAATGAGATTTTGTTTGATGAACCGGGCTACAACATTCTTGGTAACGGAAGCGAAAGAAGTTGCCTTAACCCACTTGGTGAAATAGTCAATGGCTACCAAGATGAAGTGGTGTCCATTAGAGGTTATTGGCTTGATTTCCCCAATCATATCGATGCCCCACATATCAAAGGGCCAAGGGGCCGTCAGGACATTCAGAGGAACTGGAGGTACGTGTACCTTGTCAGCATAGATCTGACACTTATGACAAGTTCGAGAGTGCTGATAGCAATCTGCTTATATGGTAGACCAGTAATAACCTGCCCGTAGGATCTTCTTTGCCATCGTATGCCAACTGGAATGGGTGCCAAAAGTGCCTTCATGTAGATCAGCCATGATCTTTTCTGCCTCAACCTTGTCTATGCAACGGAGCAAAACAGATTCATGGTTGCGCTTGTAGAGAATGCCATTACTAAGGAAGAACTTAGCAGAG